ACCACAATTAACAGGGTCTGTTACAGGAAGCTGAAGTTCACTCACTTCCCATCATTCAAGATCGAGGGTTACTATCCTTTTTTATGGATATCACAATTAGAAATGGCTTCGAGCTTTGCATGAAACTAAATGCCTTAAGGCATTTGTTTACTCATTCATCAAAATACAGAATGGTGAATGCTCACCTCATCCTCGGATCTCGGTGGGGTTGGCAGAGGACCTACTTGTTCATTGAACCTTTGAACGTTGTATAACTCCATGACCTTGTCATAATTCTCAGCCCACCACCTCTGAGCTTGCCATTTATTAAACATTTCCCGGCTGATCAAATTTATAAAATGATAATTAGTAATCCACCACTGAACAAAAAAAAAAAAATCAACTGAGATTAGGTATTTCTTTGCATAAATTTCTAAGCCTCATTAATCAGCTTGAAGACCCACTACCTAGGGTCAATAGATGACCAATACTCAATAAAAGTTACCACTTAAATCATCGTTATGGATCATGTCATACCCTAAAACTTTCAAGGAGGATAGAAGAGCCAAAAGGTAAAACAACAAACTTCTAGATGTTGATCCTTTAAAAGCACCCCAAAAAAGAAAAATTGCTTGCTCTTCCAAATCATTCAAACAGTACTTGAATTAAGTTCTCATCTCTATTCAATTATTTCACGCCATGAGTGCTACTGTGGTACAAAACCAACCAGGCCTCTCTCTCTTTTTTTTCTTTTTGCATAGCTTCCTTTACTTTTTCTTGTCCTCTTTCTTTTCTTCTTTACTTTTTCTTTTCGTGGGCAGAAAAGAGTGAGTTTAAATCACCACGGCTAGAAGATAACAAAGCTTTTTGCTTTTTCCCATTTCTACTACAATAATTCTAGAATGACTTACTGATAATTGAACAAAGCCAAAGCCACACCAAGAAGTTACTATGCAAACAAGACAGCTTCTGCTAGTGCAGAATCTGAACAGGCTTTAAAAGCATGTGATCATCACTCTCAAACAAACTTGTCCTCAATCGCAAGATCAACAAGAGAAAGTTTATAAAGTACCGCAAAGGACAAAGTTACACTACTTATTAAAAGCTAGTTCGCCTCTAAGGGATCCCAAGGCATGTGATAAGCCAATAAAAACACTTCACAGATATTGGACACGTAGAACATCAAAACATAAGCAAATGTAGATGTTGAGTAAATATCAGTCCCTCAAAAAATTTCACCAGGCACTACCATCAATTTAGTACTTCAAATTAATTACCAACATATCAATCGACATTTTAAGACGTACATCAAATAGATCATTCGTTAACTTAACAGAGTTGCCTATGTAACCCAACATGCCCTCAGATGGAATATCAGTGACTGACTTGGTCATTTGCCATAGCTTTGAGTCTGCTCCTAACAAGCTCTGCTTCAAAATGGTAAGCTTCTTATGCTAATAAATAAACTCGTTTTTTATTTTTCCGCGTGAAAACTCGCCAAGTCAGCCATATATTTCCAAACAGGTCGAGATACTGAATCATGCTGTCAATTCTAATAAAATTTTGCTCTCAGAACTGACATCAACATCTTTTTGATATACTTCCTCAAAAATCAGTTAATGATAATTGGGAACTGATACGGATAGATTGTTTATGATATAAAGTTTAATTTGAAGTACAGGACGTTGGCCCAAAAAAAAAAAAAATTTTAAGCCTAGGACAACAAACAGCAAGACAATGTACCTGAACCGTATTCGTTTCAGATCATTCCCACCTTGAGGCAACGAAACGAAAGTGATAAGCACACCAGGCTCTACTTGAGCAACCCATTCCTTGGGCTCATCCTCCTCCATGAACACCACCGACTCAGTCCGGCCACTCACCGACGCCGGCGTTCCTTCCCCACTAGAGAGCCCCTTCAGTCTCGCCTCCATCTCCTTTCCCCAAAGCCTGGGGGTTGAGTTGGAGCTACCAGTCCTTTTGTACGCCCAGTGAAATCTCGCTGATTCTGAAGCCATATCAGAATCAGCATAGTTATGGTTCCTGTTACCATTTGAAGATCCTGAACAGGGCTTGCAATTTCTATATGCCCCAGAAGCCTTCACCGCCATGTCCTTGATCTAAACATCAAATTTGTATAAAATCGCCAACAAAAATATATATTGGGTTCAGCACTAGATTGAAATTTCAAGAACTAGAGAATGGAACAGAAACCACTAGCTCCGAAAGTGTGTTTTCGGGTGCCATTAAGAGCTTCAAGAAAAATTAAAAAAACGAAAAAATACATGATTCAAGAGTTGAAATTTTCGGACCACTTAAGAGAATTACCTGCGCTGTGAGGGCCTTAATGGCCTGCTTGGTGCTGGGTGTATCCACAGCTTCTTCGTGCTCATCTTGTTGGGGAAGAGATCTCTTGTCATTAAGCTGCTTGGAACACGCAATGCAGGTCAACATTTCTGATCTCCTTTCTAGAAAAAGATTTTGATATCACCCTTCAGATATCAAAATGATGATTAATGGGTTGCCACGAAGCCAGCTCTCAGTCAAAAAAGGAAAACACTTTAGCAGAGCCAAACAAATTGAAGATCTGGGTCAACTTGATCGAATCGAGAAAACTCCATGGCTGCTCTGAACCAAAGCACTATGCCATTGAAGTTGAAACCAGCAAACCAAAGAGAGAGATGCTGATGAGGGAAAGAGTAATATGATCTATGAAATATTAAAATATACTAATCAAAGGAGTTAAAACTGAAGCATAAAACAGCAATGTCAAAACTTTTCAACGGAGTAGAGGGAGAGAGAGGGACAAGGAGGGACGGAAGACGAACGTTAGGACTTGGGGAATAAAAGATGTAGCAAGTTTCAAGGCGAGATTTGTGAGGGATTTCGGATCGAAACGCCGTAAAAATCAAATTTTCCCCCCTTTCCTTTAGCTGTAGCAGTAAAAATCTCTCTCCTCTTGCTCCTCTCAAATGGCTAACCCCCTATTCAGATTTTGGTTCTCCACAATTTCACTCTAGTGGCTTCCATTTATAGTGCAGGCTGGCTAGGGTGGCCTAGGAGCATGACACTTCAAAAGAATGGAGCTACTGTGCAAATTTGCTTATGTGATGGACTTTGTGAAATGAAAGGAAAAGGAAGGAAGAAAAGAAAAAGACAAGATGTGAGTGAGGTTCTGCATTCCCTCGGCTGATCAGTTACATTCTTTCATCTTTATCTTTTATAGGTCACGCAGAGGTCTGCACAGAATCCAAATCCGTAAATTAGGATTAGGCGCATTCTGTATTTACTGGCTTTCTCATGGAAAGGATTAGTATGAATTGAATGGTTTGGATATTGAGTCAGATAAGTTCATGCATGTATTTAATTTTAATTGAAGGTGCTAATAAAATTAATATATTTGTTATTTTATACATTAAAATTTTATATTGAATTTTTTTAAAAAAATTGTTACTAAGAAGTGTTATAATTTAACATCTAGATATTTTTTATTATAACTAAGGTATGTGTATGGTGTTTGTTTGGCTAGAAGTTCCGACAATTTAACACTAATATTCAATCTTAATGAGTATTGAATTTAAATTAATTAACTATAAATATATCGCCATAGTATTTATTAAGCAAATATATAATTGTTAATAATAATGTGTCAGGATAATGGTTGTACTCCATAATATTTAAAGAAAAAACTATCCCTCAATGATGTTATTTTGTATTGACAATTAAAAAATTAAAAAAAATCTTTGAACTGGACGACTAAGCGTTGGTTTTTCCAATATGATAGGGTGAAATTATACACATCTAACATTTCAAAATTTCAAATACTGCAAAAATATGTTATCATTTATTTTTTAAATGTTGTCAATTATTATTAAAATATAATAAATAATACTGATTTGAAATTTTAAAATTTAAAGATATTTTTAAAATTCTCCCTTGTACATAACTCCCCACTTTATGTTATATATAAACTTTGAAACTTTAGAATAAATTTCCTAAATTTTTATATGTATGCGGATACTTTTTTTACTAGTAAATTTGTTGATCATTTATCCACGCATATATTAAAGTTTAGGGAATTTATATACACAAATCAAAGTCCGAAGAGATTATGTACACATAAAAATATAATATTAAAGGGCACATTATTGAATGTTAGGATTTATCTATACAAAGTTAAAAGTTTATGTAGATTTATTATTACGTTTTAAAGATCAGAGAAATTATTTGTATATGATTTAAAGTTGAGAGAGGTGTGATGTAATTTGACCTTTTGATAATCATGTAAAGTTCAGAGCAATTTTAACAGTCAAGGTAAAAAAGAAAAGAAGAGCAATTTTAACAGTAGGCCACAAATTGAGTTCGATTTCACTAGTTAATAAAAAATATTATAAAAAAAAGATTATAAAAAATTATACAAAAATATACTCCTCTGGTCCTATTTATAAGATATTTTTTGCATATTTTATATAAACCAAGAAAAACCTTAAATTTCAATAACTCTCATTTAAAATACTACTATAACAACTTTCCAATTTTATTCATATTTAATATACATTATATCTCATCTAAACAAAGTCAATATAATAATAAATGAGAAATAAAATTATATATTTATATAAAAAAATTTTATAAATAGGACTAAAAAATATCTTCACTCTATTTTATAAATAGCACCAGATGGGTATTTATTTACAGATAATGCTGCTGTGTTCTCACACTCCACAATATACATACGCCTCTCATTAATAGGCCCACTCCTTTTTAAATGCTCATTATTTCTGTTTTTTCTAATCACTTTCTTAGTTATTCTTTTTATATTTCTCTTCAGCAGGTCTTGAAATTGTTGTAAAGAATATGTATGGTATGAAAGTTAGATTTTTTTTTTTTTAATGTTCTTGCCCTTCACAAGAGAAAGCAATATTGATATTAATATAATATATAAAATTCATTTAAAGTTATAATATCTGAAAAATTATAAATGGTAAACAGAAATATTAATTACAAACTAAAAGTTATATGTAGAACCCAAACGTCTCATTTGCAATGAAAACTCTTAAGGATTTAATTATTCAATTGGTTCTTTTCCATAAGAGACAATTAACTGAATCATGTTAATTACAAAATTGATTAAAATCAATTGAAAACAGTGAGAAACTAAAAAAAAAATGGAGACAACCTCAAAATATCTCTCATGAATACAGACAAGTCATAATTGCGACTAATTTTTCAAAATACAATTGTGGAAAACTTAATTAACATTAATTCACTCTGTTTTTTTTTTCCGGGCCAACAACGTTAATTCAGTCTTTTAAAACCATATGACTATTGTTATTCATTTCTTTTCATACTTCACACCCACTGACCCACACTCCCTTCCCTTCCCTTCCCTTCCCTTGTTTCATTATACCTGTCATTTAAGGCTTTGCACACAAATTAGGAGATGCAATAAAAATAAGATATTATCGCAAAAATTGTCCCTCATTCAATGCCTCTAAAAATATTACTACCTCCTGTCCTTAATATAAGATCTTATTTGATTTTTATTTTGATTTTAAATATAAGATTCCAATCCACTTTATCTTTCATATTTATGTATTTTTTATAAGATAGTCATTCTAATAATAGTAATTTAAGTAAGAATATTTTAGGAAAGATACTACCTATTTATGACAAATAACTAACTTAACTTCTTTTGTTAATTTCTTCAAATTAGTCAAATAGTTCTTATAATTAGAACGAGAGGTAATACAATAATAATAGTAAATTATTCCAAAAATATTTTCCTTAAAAAAGAAGGAGTACTATAATGTGCATGAATGGCATGGTGAGCTTAGTAAGAATAACTCGAGCAGAACTGATTTCAATGACGCGATACGTGCGGCACTGGCAGAGAAAATGGAGGGGAAGGTGTGGTTGCGTAGGAGCGCCACCCGCGCCACCCTATGAGTGGGCTACAAACAAGGCGCAGCAAAAGGCATTCACATGACAAACATTAAACAGAGACAGATAATAGCACAGACTTGTTTTCGCTTTAGCTCCTTCCATTCCTTCCTTCATTCCCTTTCTTTCTTCAGCCCCCCGTGCGCTTCTTTTCTTCCCTTCTTTTTCCTTTTTGTGTTTTTCCTCTTATTCTCTTTTTATTTTCTTCTAATTTTTATTTATATATCAATATACATTTTTTTGAGTTCTCACTTTCTTTAGATGCGTTTAACATCCTAAAACATTTTTTTTATCTTAGTATTGAATGCACTAAAAAATATTGTCAGATATTAGACGTATCTAAAAAAATATTTTAGGATGCATTCAGCATTTTAAAATATTTTGAGAGTACTAAATACACTCAAAAAATATTTTGAAGTGTTTAATGCACATTAACTCTCCAGTGGGGTTTATTTATCCAAAACAGACACCTAAACATGCACACTATAGGAATATGTTGACTTTGATGGTTTATAATTATAATTAAGGAATGGAATTATTAGTATTAACTGGACTTACGGCAAATGAATCAATTTCTCCTGAACAAGGTTGATGAATCAAACTTTATGGATTAAAAAGAGACTGTGAGAGAGCTACTCTCAATTGAACTTGATATGATTCATGCTTATCATGATAATATTATATATCAAATAAACATATAGAAAGGGAAAAATAACTCATAAATAACTGTTTGGAGAATTAATTACCCAATGATCCTTTAAATTTGAAAACTTTACGACATAAAAATATATAATGATGAATTCAAGGGCGGTGAACAATTAATTCTCTAAACAGCCATATGTGGGCAATTTTTCTTTAAAAAAATTGGATTTGTCTTAAAATTTCAAGGCCCAGTGTCTTAACATTCTAAATTAAATTATGGTGTAAAATTTACAATAAATTTGAAAATTGTATGAAATTTGCGAGGAAAACATTTTATCATAGAGCAAAAATTCTGTGACATGTTTATTGTAAAATACATTATGAATTTTATTTGCAACAATTTTTTCCTTTTCGTCTGTTGAAAATCTAAAGAAAAAACTCCAATAGAGTTTCTTCTTAATTAGATTTGGCATTGTGGAAAAATGACAGAAAAATAATTCATAAATTTTAAAATTTCTAAATGATCACTTAAATAAGTAGAATTTCAGTTTAGATATAAGTGACTAAATTGGGATATATAAATTTGCTAAAATAATAATATTGCCCTTTTTTTAAAAAAAAAAAAAACCAAGCACCTTCACCGGCTAGCCAACAGCCGGTAATTATTTTTTGGGGATTTTTGCAATTATAGTAATAAAATTAACAAGTTCTTTAACACTGCTAACAAGTTTAATATATAGTAGTTAACAACACTTTTTTTTTTTAAATTCAAAAAGTGATATCTTTAAAACTTTAGTAATGTAGTTAACAAATTCTGTAATACTATTAATAAGTTGATATAGTAGTTAATAACGATTTTTTTAGGAAATTCAAAAAGTGGTACTACCTCCAATCCTAATTATAAGACCCAGTTGACTAATTTGAGGAGATTAATGAAGTAAGTTAAGTTAGTTATTTGTAATAAATAAGTGTTGTCATTTCTAAAACATCCTTACTAATTAAATGTATTAGCTAGAATTATTATTATTAGAAGGACTATCTTGGAAAAAAATGCCTAAATATGAGAGACAAAATAGATTGGGGTCTTATAATTAGGACCAAATTAAAAGTCAAATGGGGTC